CGGAAAGCAACGGCCGAAAAGGGGAAAGCGGCGGCGAAAGCGACGAAATAAAAAAAAAAAGGGAAAATGTGACGGTGGGCGTGAGYGTCGGCATGGGCGTGGGTGCATGGGTGCGTGGGTGTGGATGGCTGTTGTTGCGTCTGCCTGCGCTGCCTTGATGCCTTTTGCCGCTAACACGAGTAGGAAAAGTGGGATCGAGACAAAAACAAAAAAAGTTGCCGGTGACGCGAGCAGGAAAAAGTGGGAGCGCGAAAAAAACGGAAAAAAGAAAAGAAAGTGGGAAAACAAAAAAAGAAAAGAAGCGAGCGGGAAAGCGGAAAAAAAAAAAAAGCGAGCAGCGGGAACGCGATAGACTGCCTGCACCGGACTGACCCAACGAAAAAAAAAAGGGACGCGACGAATTGCCTTCATCGGAACTGACCAAACGGAAAAAAAAGGGGGACAACGACCGCTGCAGCGGCCAAAAAGGGAAAAGCGACGCCGAAAGCGACGGAACGAAAAAAAAAGAGGGGAAAGATGGTCGCTGCAGTGGCCAAAAAGAAAAGAAAAATCCAGCGACCTAACTCAGTTGATAAGGCACGCAAGTGGCATTCAGGAGGTCGTGGGTTCAGTCGCCATTGTCCTCATGTACCTTCCTGGGCATGCTTGGCGCCCGCCACCTAGAGATAAACCACTGGATCCCCCGATCGGCATTGAGCAGAGTCTGCTGATGTTCGTAGGGGAGGGGACCTGAGGGGAGGAACAGGGATTGGTCCTGTTGGCATGGTCCCTGATGCTACCGGCTGCCCCAAGCCGGTATCGCCCACCTGCAGGTCGGGAGCAGCACCCACATGTTTTCTCCTGAACACTGTTCTGGCTGCTATGGGGCTCCCCGTATGCCTACAATTAGGAGTAGCGGTAGGTAGGTAGTGTGAGGTGAAATTGAGAGAAGAATAAAAAAAAAAAAAGAACAATAGAAAAAAGGAGAAACAAAACGTCGGCCGGTCCGATATACAGCGCCCAAAAAAGACAAAAAAAAAAAAAAGAGAAACAAAAAAAAAGGGAAAAAAAAAGGGCATACAAAGATAACCCTTTTATCCAGCGGCCTAGCTCAGTTGGTTAGGCACGCAATTGGCATTCAGGAGGTTGTGGGTTCAAGCCCCATGACCGCCTGCGGCGCACTTAGTG